ATCACACTTGCGTTTCTTTTGTGGGCCACTGTATATATATTCGCTAACCAATACCTCTATTTTTTTTCCCAAACAAATGTGAGAAAATGTGAAAGGAGGTCTCAGCCTGAAAGATTTTTTTTTGTTTGAAGATGGTGATTAGCAAAAAGGCTTATTGTTGGTAAAGGCGAAAAAATCATGGATCAGTTTTACGGCTATATCTTAGATATCAGTCTTAAGAAAAGAAATCATTTTTACGCAATCTTTGGTGGAATTCACTCCGGGGGGTTTGAAATTTCATGTGTGAAGATAATTCTTTACCTCTATATTTTATATCGTGTGGAATAAACTCGGTAATGGCATAATTAGTATCTAATTCTGGGTTTGTCAGTTGATAATTAATTTTCTCTTTAAACCCATATATTCTTACCATCAAACCGAATCTTTTAGCCATACCTCTCATATCCCGTTCCAATTCCACAATTGACTTTTGATAATGTTCATCTTTAATCTTGTCTTTGCAGTATTGTACAATATCTTCGAGATTCGCATAAGTTAACCATAAATACTGTACTAAATTGACTAGTATTACCCAAAGATCATTAAGTTCTTTTTCTGGCCCATATCAAGCACTGAATCCCGCTTTATCTTAATTTTTAGATTAAGTTTGCTCAATGCATCTTTACTAACATTTGTCAACTGTATGTCAAGACATTCCAAACTAGAACAATGTTGCGCAATTTCATCAATGACTATATCAGTAACTAGACAGCAACACCTGATATCGAGATATCTTAAATTTTTACATGAACGTATAATATTACAGATAGTTGTGTCAGAAGCATCAGAAGCACTGATATCAAGATGTTCGAGCTTTGGGCAAGAGTTAGCAATATTACAAATAGATGAATCAGTAATAAATCTACACTGATCAAGTTCAAGGTATTCTAAATTATGAATATGTTGCAACAATCTATTAACTGAAACGTCTGTAATATTATGACAACCTTTTAAAGAGAGATGGCGAAGATTAGGACATGAGTGAGCTATTGCAACTATCGTCTGATCAGAAATTGGCTTACACCGTTTTAATCCACCAATGCATAAAAGTTCTAATTTAGAACATGTTTCTACTATTTTATAAACGAAATCATCAGTGATATTCCCATAGAAACCAATATCAAGGTGGCGTATTTTTTGGCACGATTTTGCAATTTTATATATGGAGTGGCCAGTTATATCTTGGTTACCACAGACATTGAGAGATTCTAAGTTGGAATAAGATCGAGCAATTTCTATAAGTGATACATCAGTAAAACTTTACTTTGTTCAAAATTTAAACTGGTTATATTTGGGTATGAGCGTAGAACACAGAGAATTTTATTATCCGAGAGTCTAGAATAATACATAATTTTGAGACTTCTTAGGCTTGAAGTATAAGATGTTTTCTGTTTATTACATGCCAACTCTAAAAAATTTTCCAAAAGGGTAATATTCTCACCAGAGACGGATAGTTCGTAGTCGTAATCTGATGCCCTATCTCCTACAAACTCGAGGTGTGTAACTCCTTCATTGCTAGTATCAATCTCGTTTTCTTTTATTTCAGATGTCATTTTTGTCAGTTATAATAATATATATATATATATTCAAAATGGAAAAATAATTTCTCGTAAGAATCACCGCAGTTGCGCAGAAACTACGTCATCTATACTTCTCCGCAGTAACTGATGTGCTTTGCATGATCGATCATCAGCTCAGAAAATTTCGCTGGGCCACACGCATGTACTCTTGTGCGACAAAAATAAGTGGATCACTAGACAGGTTTGTGTGATAGCCGTTAAGGCGCTAAAGCATATTAATTTTTGCATATATATTTGAAAAAGAGAACATATTAACTTTTGTTCTTTATTTTTCCCCAAACAAATGCGAGAAAATGTGAAAGGAGCTCTAGTTGCAACACAGGACCTACTGTAAAAGTAAATATTAACGTCAAAAGCATATGCTATGAAGGGCTGAGGACTTTGTAAT